AAGTATCAGACTTTGTTAGTTCACTCCCGTCGTCTTGTTTCATCTCACCTCACTCCATTTCGTGTAGGTGTTTTTAGTACAAGTCAAATGAGGCATGATCATTAATATATAACTAAAGATATTGAAAGAGTGGGTAATGTACGCTTTTTTTTGTTTTGTCTCGAGTAATGTTTGGACGAAGTAACCCGAGGTAAGCTCGGGAGAGTTTAAAGGGAACATAATATTTATTTTAATGGTGTAGTTGATAAAATCATTCAGTGTGTTAATTTTGATTTTAATTTTAGATATTAAGACAGTTAAAATAATTGAAAAATAAATTATTGTTAATTTGCACTAATTAGATATATAATATTTTAAAACAATTAATTTGTAACAAATAAAATATGGATATGAATAAAAATAATATAGCTGTATCAACACTATATCACTGAATGTAATTTGGCAGGGCTAATTGAAAAGCCAAAAATGATTTAGACGTGGTCGTTGGAATATGTTATCAGGTATTGTTCGAGTATTCGTCTACTTAAAAGAAAGTTAATGAAAATAAATAGTGTGTACATGCAAACTGGCCACACACGGCTCTAGGTGTGATTTGACTGTCGTTAAAATCACTAATTTTCATTCGCTAATTCTTCTTTTAATTCGTTCAGATCATCCAATATAAAATCCTTGTTCCATATAATTTTCTATTTCGAAAACTTAGACGTACCCAAAATCGTCGTTTTTTTCGTTCGAGAATTTTTTCTTTGCCCTGGATAATTGTAACAGCACATGCGGCGTTTAGTTTATCGTCTTCGAAATACATATCGAAAGAATTTAGAAAACTGAAAATTTATCAAACAAACGTATTACCATATAAACGGCATTTAAATTACTAAATACTAATTCCTATGTAGACAATGGTATTGCAAGTGGCTTTGATAATTGCCGTACCAAATGGCATTCAGTGGCATAGTGTGGACGCAGCTTAAGTCATGTTCAGAGATGGACTCATAATTTTTTGGCTCGGGAAAATTATTTAGACTGTCCCTCTATATTATATTATTTATGTATATAAATAATATTTATAATAATAATATATTTTTTTAATTATTTTTTATTAAAAATTTATTATCAGGTAATTCACAAAGTCAAACAAATTACGATTGAATAAGAAAAAATAAACAGAGGAATACATTGAAAAAAAGGAGTAAAGTATGTGTTGTATCCTTGATAAGAAATTAAAAATTAAAATTATTATGATAAAGTAGTAAACTAGTAAATAGTAAATATTGATAAATACAAAAAAAATAATTTCTGACAATTTATGATGAACTAGCTGTGGCCGTAGCAGCTCTCACAGACACCGGCTCACCGGGAAGTTTCCCGATATCCCAATGAGCCAATCCGACCTTGGTCATGTTTATGAATATGATATAATATTTATCAATATTATGCGTATGAAATTTCAATATGTATTACTATACTACCATTACGGTTAGATTATTATTCAATGGCTAAATTGTGTTAAATCGTGTATTGTAGGTAATCTTCGGACGATTAATAAGTATTATATTAGATGACCTTCAAATTAAGGATTTTAACAACATGTAGTCATGCTATTTTTTTTTTTTTTTTTTTGATCATATGCTTATGAGAAAACTTATAATGGTGACGTGAGTAATTTATATTTTTAATTCGATACTTTAGTGATATACGTGCGCAGGTATTATACAAAAGAGGATAATATTTTATTATTATTTTTATATATAAATTATTATAATTACTATATATTCGTAAAAACTTCAGTTATTTGTTATAGATTACATCTGAAAAATTAAAAAGAAAAAATTATCGAGCAAAGTACTCTTAATTCAAGTTTTGTATTCTATTTCCAAGGCTTGAAATTTAAAATTTTAAGCCATCGAGAAAAAGTAAAATTACCTTGGATGTCTAATGATTTTTATAGGTTGTAACTTATAAAATTATATGTTGAAACTGCAAGGTTAATCATTTTAATCAAATTTTTATAGTAATATCAAGGTTTACTGAATAAAAAATATATAGGTAGTTGCTAAAAAGAGGGAAGTTGTTTATTCGTACATACGAATGTAGCACGCCACTGTTTTAACTTTATTTTTTTTTCTTTAAATACGTTTTCATATATGATATGTGTGTGCGTATATGTATAATGTATTATGTACATCTTCATAAAAATATAGTTGGCTGGTCACGGGCTTATGGGGAAATAATATTATAATTTTAAATTTAAAGCGTATTCGATTTATATACATGGCAGAGGGAAATAGGGACAGAAAAAAATTAGATATGTATTTTACTGATATACTTTTCTTATTATAAAAAAACGAAATTGAACATCTATGTCGTTCAGATTTAAAAACGGTTAGATCCATAAATGCATGCAATAACACATATATATGACATGGATTAAGTGTACATATATTTATGAATTATATTTATATATTTATATTTATATCATATTTTATATACATATAAATTCATTTTAACACTTGTTAATGATTCCACACTATATTATCATTACTGATAGTGACATTTATCTAGAAGTCAAATATCTGGAGTTTCATAACTATATTACTAACAATAACATATCTTCATTTCGTTCCTATAGATGTGTACATAAGTGTAATTTAAAAACATCTCCGACAACCCAATTCCATTAATGATATCATTATATTGAGTATTTCTGTGAATAGTTTTCACTTTATAACATCTAGAGCAACGTTTCTTAACCGGGGGATACACGATAAAAAAGATATAAGAGGGTACTCGGGGAAAAAGGTAGTAGTGGAAAATTTAAAACGAAAGTATTTGAATTAATAAATTATTTATGATATATTTGATAACGAACACTGTGTTTATGGAAAAGGCTTTTTCGCCATACACGTTCATTAAAAATAAGTATCGTTATAGAATTTTCATAAGTTTTGAATTACGAGTTTATCTATTATAAGTGGAATCAGAATTCAAAAATTAAGTGTTACTAGAAAACTCAAAAGATCACATTAGGATTAAATTGTAAAATATATATTATTTATTTATTTTCCATTAAAACTAATTCTATAATTTCTTATCAATCCTATGTGAAAATAAACAAATTGACAATTGGCGGAATGTAAAGTAATGACGAGAAGTCTAGGTTCTAGGAGAACGTGAATGAAAAAAGGATGTGAAAAACTGGATTAGAGGATAAATATTAAAAATCCTGCATTATTATATTACTAGGCATATTGTTATCTTAAGACGATTAATAGTTAACTTTTCACACAGGAAGTTGTAGGATATTGTATATTCACAATGAACACGAACATTATAAACAACGCATTAATATGCACGGCACATGCTATAATTTAAAGTATAATTTTATTAGTTATACGTGGCAATATATTATAAAGAGGAAAAAATAATTTTTTTTATGTAAACTTCATGTTACAAAATATATCTTAACATAGAGTTTTTAGGTACACATCGTAACGTATTATTCAAAAGTTATTTCGTAAACAATGCAAAATATAAGATAAACATTAAAGTCTTATGTAAAATTATTATTTTTCAATAATAAATATAATTTTATATTTATTTATATCCTTAATATTATTGTTACATTATTATTTATTATTCACGAATTAAACATATTTTTATATTTGCTAGGTCAACTAACTTTTTAAATTTTTTTTTTTTTATAAATAACAGTTAGTTTATTTACTCACCTTAAACTTTTCGTACGTACTGTCAATTTCCGAGTAACTAATAAAATGGTGAAATAAGGGTTAATTTTTTTAATAGGTTTTAATAAAAATAATGTTAAATGTTGGAACTGTTAATCTTGATCAGAGTAAGATTTTTTTGAGTAAAGTGGTAGTTTTGGGTAAGTTTTTGTCAGTTTTATACGTAATTTTTACATTTTGCTATGATGTTATCATAGTCTTATAGAAAAAATATCAAAACATTTGGACATAGACTACTTATTTATATAGTCTGATACTTTGGCTATGGTTAGTTGATTTTAGATAAATATATTGAAAAGTAGCTGGAAATAAAAAACTCCACTTGAAACTCCAGCTTGGATTTTACTTATGTGAGGAATATTAGTGTCTATTCGGGTTACAAAATGTCCGACATAGATATGACTAGTGGAAAAGTATGAAGGTGGATGGGGTTGTTTTAAAATCGAGCAATAAATGTCAAACACAATAAAATGTTCTAGAAACTTAAAAACACGGTTCTGTACAATAAAGTTTTTATTTTAAACAAAATTATGTATAATTCAATGGGCTTCGTCAAATTATAAACTTAGAGTTTGAAACGATTAAGTTTATATTCGTTATATATAACGTATACTCTTTATAATCGTTTAAACTGCGTTTTTATATATAGGAAGTGTACAAAATAATATGAACACCATGCAATATAGTTACATATTGTTTGTATTGTATCTCCAATATTATCTACTGAAGCAATTGGCGGATATTTTGGTAGAAAATTGGGATAAAATTTTGTTGGAAACTATTCAGATCCTTTACGAATCTATTCCGTGAAGGATTGAAGCTGTTTTAAGAGCAAAAGGTGGCCCAACACCTTATTAATAAATCAATATGTATATATAAATAAATAAATTACGTATATTGCATGAATTGCGGTGTTCATATTATTTTATCCACCGCCTGTAGGTTATTTTCAATAAATTTTTTCAAATAATATTTACATTTATAAAACAATAGAATAGAAATATTAAAAATCTCTCTATGCCAACACATGGAATATAAGTATAAATTTTTTAGCGTTTATGAAAAATATTTCTTTTACTTTTATGGTTTGGAAAAATACATTTGAAGATGTGAAATCATGAAGGCTTGTAATTTATCTGAAATCTATCCTAATACTATTAAACTGGAGTATTATTAAAAACTGTCCATATTAAATCTCATAAAACTTGTTATTATTAAATAAACATTGTGTAACAAATAAATAAAAGGTGTACATGTAATAAATAACTAAGAGGTATATGGTTCGCATTTTAAGACGTTCTAAAAATGTGAGACTATTATTGTATTTTAAATGTGAGAGTGAATTTAAATTTTAGTGACACAAAAATATTAAACATAATTAAGTATATAAAATTAAGAATTACATATTAAATCAACTTATTACTTAGTCTTAATAAACATTGACTTCTTTCAATCCCATTGTAGTAGCTTTTCTCCACAGACGAAATTTTGCTAGATCCATTCGAGTTATGATTCCAACTACCTACAAATGCAACATATATATTAATTGTTTCTTGTGTACATTATAAAAGCTAATTATTTATTTTTTATTGTAATTATCATATTATAAAATATTAGTGTTTTAAAATATTTAACAATAATTTATTTAAGAAACTTAAAAATTTGAATTGTATTTAAATACATTAATTTGATGATATAGCGATATTCAATTATCTAGTAATTAATAGATTTTTTTTATTTTAATATTTTATATATTTTTTTATTGATATGTAAAATGATATATTTCTGAGTTTCTCAAATTGCTTTTATTATGAATAAAAATTATAAAATATAAAATAATTTTGAGGACTTTACTCATTTATATAATGGCTTACTAATTAATATGAACTAGCCAATTTATACAAGCACTTATTGCGATTTTTAGTCATAATTTGTTAAAAAGATTTAATGATTTTCTTTAATAATTTAATGATTGAATTGGAGTTCTTGATTACTTGATAAATTGTCGATAAAAATGTTTGTATTCTTATTATAATTAGTTCAAATTTTAAATTATAAATGCAAAATGGGAAGATCCGATATTTCACAAATAAGCATCATATAAAGTACTAATTATTCCCTTGTGAACCAAATAAAAATATAAACTTTATCCATCCATTATAAAATTCAGTTTAACGAGTAAATATATGTACATAAAAACAATAATAGAAACTGATTGAATGTTTGGTAGAGATTAGTTCCCTTATAAACATAGTTCAATTATTGATGTAATATTTACGGATAATCGCTAATAAAGTGCTATTCGTTATTTCTGTATAGTTAAACAAATTAAAGCAAAATTTAATTATTACGTAACAGACTTATAATTAGGTAAACAACCATGTGCGTTGTGTTTTTGTTTACAAAGAGTGTTTAACTTATGTATTGAATGAGTATAAGTGCTTTTACAAAGTGATTTGTACTTAACCATATTCTATATTTAATTTACTGAATTAAATAGGTTATATCATCCGAGAAAGTTATTGGTTAGTTTTTTGTGTATTATATAATTGTTCTTTGCATTGTTTTCCAAGTTGTATATTGTTCCGGAAGTTTTGACGATTACAGTAATGTTATTTTTAGGTTTTTGATTTCTATAATAATTTCTATTACTGTTTTGGTAAATTGGTATACTTTATAAAAGGTCATAAGGGCGTATGAAAAAGTTTGTCCGATTATTATCAATTATTTATAACTTTGTTATTTTGAACTACACTTGTAATTTTCAACATTGATTTACCCGACCAGCTCACTTTTTCAATAAAATCATTATTATACAAACTCTACTTTTGTCATAATATTATTAAAATCCTAATTTTAATTTATTAAAATCGGTAAACTTCAGTATCATAGGGAAAATGGCTGACTTATTAGTCACCTCCACCAAAAGCATAATTATTCCCTCACTCCTTAAAATTCTGTTTTATGATCGTATCTTAGTCTTCGTAACTTCTCATCATGTGTCTTAGAATTATTAAATTTCTTATGCGATTTCTAATTTTACTTGGATCTGAGTTCTGAATCCTCGATATTCTCCTCCTTAACAATTTCCACTCTTCCTCAGTAATGTAGTAGAGAATAAACAAACAAAAAAAAAAAATCTTTGAATTTTTAAGTGCCTATATTGATTAAGTTGATAATTTTGTATTGATAACAATGCAATTATTCATTAACTAGTTTTTAAATTATCAACCAAAATATTGCTTGTTTAATTTGTTTTAATCGATAGTTTGTGAAAAAATACTTTTGAAATGATTTCCAAAATAAAAAAAATAAACATAAATAAATATAAATAGTGATCATAGCTGTGCACTTTTTTGATCAAGTCCTCATGTCACTTAAATTCCTTTTTTATAAGTCAACATTTTGACTTGCAATAAAAAAAAAAATGATTAGATTTTAAATCCTCGATTAATAAATAAAACTATAAAAAAATAAATAAGAAATAACGTTTGGTGAAAACCCAGTCATAATATATGTGACGTAGGTAATCATGACGTTCAAGCGGGAATTTGCATGAAAGTAAAAAACATCATACAACCATGGTCTAAGATGAAAACATGTTATGAAGTGCCCTAGGTATATTTCAATACATTATTGAATAATATTATTAAAAATAAAACATTCACAAATTAAAAAATTTAATTTGTTGATTGACCAGTATTACTTAAGGCAACCATATTTACCTAAACTAAATTATAAGAAAACAGTTTATTAATTTCATTATTTATATTATTAAAATTAAAAAAATAGCAATAATTAAAAGAACTACATTTTTTTTTTCAAAGAAAAAGTTATAAGAATTCGGTTTGGAAGTATTTTTGCACTTTTTTTTTAAGCCAAAATTATAAATATATTTTGTTCTATACTTCTTAATATTTTGATTATACTATGAGTATAAAACTAATAAATGTTTAAACATAACAAAATAATATTAAGAAGATAAATTTTTAATTGTTTTCCATCATACCTCGTTGGTGTTATTGATGACAACAATATGTCGCAGTCCTAATGTACGAAACAATCTAAAAGTTCTTGTTAAACTTGTTTCCTGAAAAAAAAATTATATAATTTTTACTTAAACTATACATACTTATTATTTTCTTCATTGATTATATTTTCACCCAATATACAAATATGTATATTTTGATAAAAAAAAATGATTTGTAATTATTTTTAGCTATTATCTAGGAGCTGCTGCATTTTATAATGGTTTTCAACCATTTTAACATTTTTAGAAGTATCAGACATTATTTATATTATTTTTTATTTCTTTCCAATTAGTCGTTAATAAAATAATATATTTACCAAAAATTAAATTGTTTATTTAGCCTTCAGTAGTTATTTCAAATATCAATACTTATATATGTATAATCAAAATTAAATTATTATTTTGTGAAATATACATAAGTAAAATACTATCTAAAAATATCACACATTTTAACGAACTAAAATTGTTTGTAGCTTGATAAAATAATATGAAAAAGCTAGATAAAATAGCTAGATAAAAAGTTAACTTAATAAAATGTAAATTAAATTACTATATCAGACATTATTGTGATTGTTTTATAAAAATTTGGAATTACTTAAATCACCTTTTACATATAATATATTAAGAATTATTTTTTAAAATTATTTAGGTTAGTATATATATAATAGTATATATATATATATATAAAGTATAAAAATGTAACTTAAATATATTCATACTGTGTAATTAACAAAGTAAAATAACCTTTTTTTTTTTAAATTAGTAATAATGTTGATTTTTTTCAATAATATTTTCAAAAACTGGTGACCATTAGAAACTTTTATTTGTCATTTAAATTAATTTTTTAATTTTAGTATAAATGCAACAAAAATAATTTTATATTATAGACTAAATCATTATGAAACTAAAAAAATAATTAAAAGTTGGTAAGACATGATTATCGAATGTTCATTTTAATTTTTTCACTTTTAGGACTCTAGAAATTTAGTGCATTAGGACATAATACTGCCGATTAGGAGCAGGATATTAAATATGTAAATAGTTTTTTTATAAATTTAAAATGTCCTTAATTTTTATATGTAACTATACTTTATCCGACGTAAAAAATATTGATTTAATATTAAATTAAATGTGTGATTAATTTTATCCCATCTATATATATATATTTTTTTAAAAATAGGACTAAAATAGCAGAATGATAAAGGATAGAAAAAAGTTTTAAAACTTCTATTTGATTTTTTTTAACTGTCATCAGCTCATGATATATCATTAATGTTTCATTGATTTGTAGGAAAAATATTTGGGTATTTTCCTATAATTGTCACTCAATCCGCCGTAAACCATGTCTAACAAAGCGAGAATTATGTTGGAACACAAACCACTACCTATCCTACTTACAGAAATGTTAGATTATAAATAGCAATAAATGGGATGAAAAATATCTCGAAAATAGCAATTGGTTAATAATGGAAAATACCCAAATATTTTTTCAATATTGAATTTGGGACCTTTACCAATTATGTTGTAAGTTTCATTTACACACATCTTATAATAATAATCAATAAAAAAACCAATCTCCATTTATATTAACATAATATTTTATATGAAATTTAACCCATTAAGTGTTCTATGAATGTTGAATATTGTTAAATTGAACAATTAGGTGATATTACAGATATTAAGCTTAGAGAAAAAAAATCTGTTTATCTTTTTATTAAAATTTAATGTTTGGTAAGTGAAACTTTCAGTTTTTGGTTTTATTATGTGTTAGTTAAAAAAAAAAAAAAACAATCTAAATATCTATATAAAAAATAGTCTAATATATGATACATATAAAAATATAAAACAAAAACTGTCATATTTTAAAGTTATTGACAGTCATTTTAATATTTCATTGATTATAAAAACTAGAATAAAATTATATTTGAATTACAAAATTAATTGAAATCCATTAATAAGCAGTTTGAAAATATAAAACTGATTTAAGTAAAAAACAACTTTCTTGCGATTAGATTACCGAACTAGTTTTTATTATTAATTAGTTTTTATTTTTATTTTTTATTAGTAGTTTACTCTCGTGTATTAAATATACTTTTGTATTATTCAAAATAAAAATAATGGAAAATCCCATATTTATTAATTTATATATAATTAAGTCATATTGAAATTGAAAAAATTGTTTTTTTTTTTATTAATTATTCATTTAAAATAATGTCAATGAATATTACACTTACATTTTGAAATCCTGATTAATTTAATGGAATAAAGAAATAATAATAATTTATTATGATATACTTTTACCATTATTTTTATTATAATAGACTTAAATAATTTTAAACATACACCATTATTTTATTTTAGGTGTATGCAATTTGTAAATTTGATATTAGTCAATTTATAGTTTATACAATTATAATACAATCGAGACTACTTTTTCTCTAAAAAATATATATATATATAATATCAATAGAATTCTTTGATAATATATTTATATAATCAAACAATCCTATGTATTAGAAATTGGAACTGAATATTGAAACCAAAGTGAAATAAATAAATTGTAAAATGCAGTGAAATAAAAAGGAAATATAATATTATTAAACATAAAGTACTTCAAATAGATACGATATATAAAACACATTATTAGTCTGCTAAACAAATTTAATTCTATGAATTATTAACTTGCATAAGTATGGTTTACTTATTTAGAAGTAGAGTATATTTATTAATCTTAATTAATAAAAAGTTCATAAAAAGAAATATTTAGTACTTATAATACATTTTAAAATTTTTTACCAAAATGTTTTAAATATTTACTACTAAGTAATTTTATAAAATAATATAATAAAATAATATAGTGCTCCGATAAATAATTAAGCTAAATTTTGGTCATTTCAGGACTAGAATACTATCATATTAATGAACATATGATAGATCAATAGAGCTTGTAAAATGTGAGATTATAATTTTTAATAATGACATAATTGTTACAGATATTTGCATGTTAAAAAATTAGGAAAAATATTGTAATTATCTACATATGTAAATCATGTGGATCAAATAAGATTATATTGATAAAGGCGTACTTATGAGGGGCCAATATTAGGTGATAGATTTCTCTTTAATTTCTTTTTTTTCAATAAATAGTTTTGGTTATAATATTTCTTTGTCTCGTATGAATGTTTCAAATTCTTTTAAGTACGATAGGAGTAAATATAGTATTTTTATTTTTTATCTTGATTGAACAGCGTTATAACTAAATATATGTAAATCATGTTAGTAGTTACCTATGGCAGCGGGAAGTTTTTTTTATTCAAATTACCAATTTCATAAGATCACTACTCACCCACCAATGTTATTTATTTTTGTAGATTGAAAGAAGTCTCTGCATGTATACATATTTTTTTTTATTATTTTTTTTAATTTACCTTTGTTCGAATATACATATTTATATTTATAACTTTTAAGTTATATTTCAGTATTTCACATTTCATATTATAATAATAAAGTCTTCTGCGTGTAGGTATTTTCCCATAATAATTATTTTCTTGGCTTTATTTTTACAAAGGTTACACACTCCCATTTTTTCATGTTTTACGTGATTTAAATAACCCTTTCATGCCACCACTGCTAATCACTGAGTAAATAAACTCCCCCCCCCAAAAAAAAAATAATATAAAAGTATGTTTTGCGCATGGCGTATGTTATATATGTCAGATTATATTACTTGCTAAGATTATTGTAATTAGCCTATTGACTGGGTATTTTTGTTTTGAAAGTAAATATAAAAAAAATACTGACTGGGTTATTGAACATTTTGGGCTAAAACTCAACCGGCTTATCAATATTACATTATATGCATTGTTTTTATACATATTTACAAAGTACGGATCACATGATTGTAAATACCCATTTTCAAATTCACGAAATAGATTAAAAAATAAAAAATAAATTATTATAATAATGGCATAATGGCATGATCATTTCGAATTAATTTCTCAGTGATTTTTACATACTATTAGGTACATGTGTAGATATTAGATATTCTTGAAAATAAATTATACTACGTAGTAAAATATCCTTCAAATTGTATGTCAAATAATTAATATATCAGTAACTATTTTAATCAAGTTTTAAATTAAAGAATATGCATCTTAAATGAGAAAAAATAAACTACGGTACTCAAAATAAAGAAATTATTTTTTACCAGAGTTAAAAAACCCTTTTTATCGATTGTTTATCCATTATTTTTAAATTATATAATAATTATATATTATTATAGATGATTTTTGAAAATAATAAGATTTTCAAGATTTTAACATTTCTTTCTTCTCTTTTCGTTCTTCTCATTTGGTTCTTCTCTTTTCTTAGTAAAAAATTGTGTTATTCTCTCATCATATGTAAAAATAATAAAGCTATTGTCAATCATTGGGAATCAAAAAATAACTTCAAGTGACTTTTTGAGCTTAATAATTATTGTATCGTCCATAAGAACTTTTTAGAATCGTTTGTTTTCTATATGTATCAAATAAATTATGTATCTGTGAGATTTGCATTGTTTATTCAAGTCTTTATGAGTATATGAAAATATAAAAATTCATCAATATTAATTACAATTAAGTAGCCGGTTAGATATGGATACCGAGTAATTTCGTTATTATGTTATTCATTTGTATTTTTATTAATTTGAATGAAATGGCAAATCATAGTATACGAAAAATTTTAGTGTCAGAAAAATGAAAAATGTTCCTCCTTTAAACTGGAAGTGCCATTTCTGTCCAATTTGTTGATTTAAAAAGTTACCACATAAAACTTTTGATGAGGATTTCCTACTTCAAAAGTATAAATAAAACAATATCATTACAAGACCATTACATTTCTGCTTCAATTTTAATTCTTGTATCTTAAAAAATGTTAAATTAATAAAATTATTTATAAAATAAAAAAGATAATAATATATTTTTTGAGGCTTGATGTAAATAATTTAATGCTTATTTATTTTTAGTATTTTTCCGGGTTATACATCTACATAAAACCTCTCATATAGTATGTTAGAACACTTAAAAGGGAACATAATTTGTACTATACAGATAAATCTTTTTTATTTTAGTATTTATCTAGTAATTATTTAGGTTTTTTTTTAATCGTGTAGAGGAAAACATTTTACATATTTATTTCTAAATAGTTATTTTATAAATTATTTCTAATAATCAGTAAAGTACACTGAATAAATTTTTTTTGGAAAATCTGTTAAATTAAAAATACTATTACATGTAATTGCGGAGAATATACATTTGCGCTCAATACGAGTTCCATGTTTCAAAAATCAAACAAAATAATAGTTTAAGGTTTATCGATAATAACAGTAATACACGTCGTGTAGCTGAGTTAAATAAAAAAAAAATCATCATAACCTACATAATTTTAAGTTACAACTATAACAAATTGAGTAATTGGTTATTTACAATGTTGTTTCGTTATTGTTTTTATCCGGTTTCATGATGATTCTTATAATTATTTAAATTTTAAATTGATGACCAAATTATATAGGTAAATCATAAAACGATGAAGAAAATTTTAGTTTATTTGCCAACAGCAAAATAAAAGACGTACACCTATGTATTAGAATATACATAAATGTATATTATTTATAATAGTAATATATTTGAAATAACTGACGTTAGTTAACCGGTTGGCAGAAAGGAAAAATTAAAGACTAGTTTGGGTATTTCCGAACATACACACCTAAGGTGAAGGTCATTACACTGACAGTGATTTAAACGTTGTTTACAAAACATATTGGCGAAATAGAAATGTGCGAACTCCGTAAACCCTATATAATCAGTACCCGTTCACCATAAGATCATCAGTGTTTCGCAAGCATTGTACTAAAATCAACGAAGTTTATTCATCTTACTCGTAGAAACATGAATTATCACAAAATGGTAAGTATATTTGTTTTACTTTGCCAGTTCCGAATGTTTTATTTTAAAACTTTTGAGTTTTTAAAAATAAAAATATCATGAATTAAATTTATATTTGGAACAATTTATTATACTTAGATGAATACTTAACATGACAGGATATATTTTATGATGGTCATAATCAATGATAGAAAATATAGGGGTTTTTTTTTATTATGAGCTGGTCTCATTATGTAAAAATATAAAATTAGATTACATCTTCGGTATTTGTACGAATGTAGTTAAACAAACATAAGATATTTGTAATAAACTATATTTATAATGATGATGGAGTTAATTAATTTCAGTATTTTATTTGTTATGATTTTGTTTTATTAATATATTGATAACATTTTGTTCATTATTTTAGATAAAATAATGATGTAAAAATAATCAAATTTTTAATAAAAACCTCAAAATCGGCTAATATTTTTGTCTTAAAAAAATTATTAATATATTTTTTTAAGAAAAGTTTCAATTTCTTAGTAAATTATGGTTAAATGTTTATATATTAGATAGGTTTTGTACAAATTTTTTGTATTAATTGTAAGTATTTCAAAAAAAAAAAAAAAAAGGATTAATAATCAGGATTATGTGTTCTAAAAACATAAAAATATTGATTACATCTCATAAATGTTTGATATTAATTTAATACAATTATTTTTAATACATAATTATTCGATAATATTAAAAGCGATTAAAAATTATTTTTTTTAGACACTCATTGCATTTTCAATAATTTTATCAGTGGACAATTGTTATAATAATTGTTTAACAAGTTTAGTTTAGTTTATTTTATTTTTTTTATATTTGATTAATAAGAATAATTCAAAACTAAAAATTCTTTATTATGTTTATCTTATTAATTTATAATACAAATCTAAAAGATATATGAGACACTAGATATTTTAATTAGTTTTTGTGTATATTTGAGTAATAATTATTATGTTTGCTTTGCAGTTATTGGCTTTATGCTTTTTGGCTCTTTTGGTTATAAATCAAGGATCATGTGATCCCGAACCTCAACCGGCTAAGAACCATGGTGGTTATAATAACCACGGTGGATATAATAATCACGGTGGATATAATAACCATGGTGGATATAACCACGGAGGTGGCTACCAAAATGGCGGTGGACATTATGGTGGTGGACATAACGGTGGTGGACATCATGGTGGTGGACATCATGGTGGTGGACATCATGGTGGTGGACATCACGGAGGTGGATACGGCAATGGTCATCACAGATACCATTAAATTAAAAAGCGCTCATAATTTATTACATAGTTTTATAATTCTACACACATTTTATTTCTTTTTGTAAACTCCGAAATTATACAGATAAAAATTAAACTAGTGATATTATTACAAAAAAATATTTATGTTTACTAAAATATATATGATATCTATTTTATTTCATGCTTAATTATTTTACATCTTTAATTGAGAAACCTGAGTTTAAAGAGTGAACGTTGTTTAGCGATGTTTACTATTATTATTTTGAGTGGATCCTCAAGAGATATGGATAATATTAACATGAACTTATTATAAAAACTATAAACTAAAATATAAAAATATCAACATCTGCAATCATAACCATCAATGTTTTTAGTCAAAATATTGAAAGACGTATTTCAGAGTGACTATGTGTACAATACTATGAATCAGAGTATATGTGCATTGTGAATGCATAAAAACATCTTAATCTTAATTATAACTTGAAACTTAAAATCACATAATATGAATTAAAATCTTGAAAAATGATATGGTAAAATTAGTTACATTATAATAATTAAAGATTCCACGGCGTGTGACGTGGATCGCGGCACGAAGTTTGGTATAGCCGGTACATCAAACGCGTTGTACCTAATTTATAGGATGAATGTGGCGTGCCATAACTCGTGTTTTTCCTAGTGTTGTCGGTTTTTGGAATCCGAGTCAAAAGAGACGAGCCACCGTGGTTCGTGTATATTGCGTGCGAATAAAAAATATTTAGTAATTTTTTGTTCAGCGTTTTTTTAATTAATTTATTTTTTTCGTTTAAATAATTTGCATAAAAATACAGAGTGGTAAAATAAACATATTTTGGAGTTCCTTGAGCTCTATGCACAAGAACCTTGTATTTGGAATCCTAAAACTTAACAATATAAAGTTCAGAATACTATGCATGATTCGTGGTATAAATCTTCGAAAAACCTTAGTCAACATTTAAAAAAATTACTACAAACTATAATATAATATAACACAGCGTTCGCAATTTTTTTTTGATTGTTTATTTTACGAAATTTATATTAAAAAATTAATGTCAATTAATTGTTTAAATAATCAATTGTTTAATTAATTATTAAAATTAATTAAATAATGTCTCAGGATCGATTCTGACGAGTGACAGACTCGGGTGATTTGACAATGAATGTCGAGCCTAAATACGCGCCGAGTAACGCACCGTGAGATCTCAACTTGAAGCATTTAAATTAGATACTAAGTAATTTATTTTCATATCATATATTAGCTGTTTTTATCAAAAAATCCAATATGAGAATTATATTTTATTTTAGTTAATTTTCTATAGAAACTGAAATTTTTATTCTACAGTGGTTGGTTGACACTAATGGCGTATACATAATTATGGGGGCGGGGATCAGTTACAAAAAAATTATTATAGAAGGAAAATGTTTGGGGGGATCTGACCCCCATATCCTCCCCTCTTTGTATACGCCCCTGGTTGACACCGTCAACAATTTGGGTTATATAAGTGTTAGAAAGAAACATTAAAATAATTATCAAAATCATTTATGTTTTTGGAAAATCAATATTATCTAATCTTTACATAGAGTGAAATTCTTCTTGTATAATTTTCAAATATTTGTCTTATTTTACCAAGTCAAACCAAATTGTCCATGCATGGTATCGTGAGCACAATGATTGCAAATAAACAAATATAAAAAATTAAATAATTGTTAAATAAACTTTCATTGTTTATCTTTGATATTATTGTGATAGGTAAAAACTATGTGCGTATTATTTTGTTAATATTTTATAAGTATTATATAAAGTATTATACTATAATATACTTACTAAGCGAACAATATAAGGTGATGGATTCATGTATGGTCTTAGGTCGATAAGAATACTTCTTTCATCTTCGTCAATATTTAATCTCTGTAAAATATAATAGTTAACCATAAATGTTGTTATTATAAATAATTAACCGTGGAGTAATATTTTTAGTTGAACGATTGCATAATTTAAAAAAATACGGTTAAACACAGAAGGGGTCGAGTGGTTTGCCTTTCGTCGCATTAGTGTATAATATTTATCCATTCTTTGCTGTAATTTACAATGTATATTTGATGTTTTTTAGATAATTGTAATATCACTTCTATCCCATTTATAAAATTAATTATATTTAAATTTTTTCATTGAGATCACAGGTCTTAAAAACAAAATAAACTACTTATTTATTTCTAAAATTTTTTTAATAAAATCACACTTACAGGAGGCTAAAAAATCGTCATATTCTAACAATAAAAAAAAATTAATTTGTATTTGATTTGTTTTAAAATAATATAGAAATAAATATGTAACCTGATATAATTTGATGTCTTCACAAGTGTACATTGAGTTTCTGATAAGCTTTAATTTTGTGCAATAATTTTCATCATGCAAAGGAGTTAGATATAAATTGTGCTCAAGAATGACGTTTAACTGAGACCGTAGAATAAATCCTTTAAGTAACCCGTAGCATTTGTGTTCCTTTGCCTTTGTCTATAGGTAATAATATTTAAGACAACATTATTAACAAGTGTAGAACTTAACAAATCTTGGATATACTCACTCGACAAAAGCAAACTTTTGATGCTACAACAGGAAACCCGTTATGTTTAGTTGTGTTCAATATGTCTACTAATTTTCCAACCATAAGTATATGAGGTATAGCACAAACTGTATCGCTCATGAAATCTTCTGTTGTTATATCACTTGTTAAAGGTGGCGGTTCGCTTACTAATAAAGGAACACCAGAAAGTTTGATCTGCATTTCATATATACCCTTAAATAAAATAATTTGCATTTTGAAAAAATCGTATTAAGTATACATACATTATTAGTACTGCTAGTACGATACTAATTATAATTATATAGACAAAATTTCGATTATTTCCAAATTTTAGTTACCTTTCTTTGCGAGTTTAAACATTAAAAGTTCAACCTACCTTATTAAGAAATTTAATTATTTTACCAGATCAATCCTCTTTAGATTTCAAAAGATTCAACCAACTTCTTTCACTTAGAATCGTTTTTACAAGTGCAATAATAAATTGGTTTCAGGATTACTAATATAGTAATACAACATATTATTCATTCATCTTTATGTCTCACCTAACCTAGGAGTTTTGCTCTTGTTATGTTATAGGGATGATACTTCTAACTTGAATATTTAATTATGTATTCTCCAATAACATTTTTGACTCGCTGGGTTTATGTAATCACGATTCCAAAGATAGATAAATAGTTAAATAAATTGTAATAGTCCAAATTTTGTGTATAAAAAAAACTATATTTTGTTAATTTTAAAATTATTTTATACATTATATTTATTCCCTATAATGTTCAAAGTTGTTATAATTTACAATAAAAACATTTTCAGTAAATTGTTATTGCCATGAATTTATCTTGTAATCGTTAAACTGTGATAAATTGTATAATTAATTATTTATGACTAAATTTAGGACACCATAATAGTATAACATTATAATAGATTGTCAATTGCATTTTATTAATTTAATATTTTTGTTATTTTTAATTACATTTTTTTGTTTTCATTTCCTAAATATTTAATACCTAAACTCTTTTTAGGTTGGAATTTTAATTTGAGTTTATAGAACAAAATGATTCAATGTTAATATTTTTAATTATCAATTATTCTTATTTAAATGGCTAACTTTTATTATTTAATATTTTCTTTATAACTAGAATACAAGTACAACATTTTTTTTTTTTTTAAAAAATTCAATAACATTATCAATTTACTGGTCTTCAAAAATTCATAATCATAAATTAAAAACAGACGTAAAACGTAATAATAATAATTATGTTTTACATTTCTAGATATTTTTTTAAAATTTTAGATTAAAAATATAATATTATTAAATACAGTTTTAATTAATTACATTTAGATAGTTCATTTCTTTGTAATATTTTAATCGGAATATTGGAGCTCTCAAAATAAATAAAATTTAATCTTGCATCGTAACATTGAAAATAAATTGTCATTCATTTTTTTGTTTGATATACATGTAGATATGACGATCTATGTATAAATGTATAATTTAAATTACTTACATCTGTAAAAAAATCACCGGTCCATTTAGCTGTGAATAAAGTAATCATTAATGGTAATAAGAACTGTACATTTCCCGTAGCTTCAATGAAAACAACAGTTAGACTAATTGTAGCTCTGACGATTCCACCTAATTGTGCTGCAGCACCAAGTAATGCATATTTTCCTGGATCATTTATAATCTACAGTAAATCAAATTAATTAATATAAATCAGTTCATCCAAAAAATGTATAATGTTTTTAAATGTACGTTTTTAAAAGAAAATCACTATTTTAACAAATAAAGCAGAAAAAATCAATAAAAAAAAAATCGAATTAATTTTTGTTGACACTATAATATATGAATTAATTAAAATAATTTTAATATTTTATGAATATTAGCTAAAATTATTATAGATCAACAGAATTTCCAAACAGTATAAGTGATCTTCTTCGACATTTTTCTTTAAAATAATTACTGTTCACAAGGTTCAATCATGAAGTAATAGTTTTAAAAAGAATAATAAGACGATTGCTTATTTTTAAATTTTTACACAGTACATTTTTCTAAAATAAAATATTTCTTAAATGTGTGAGAACCATAGATTATATAGAAAATAAAATAAATTATATAATAATAAATATTAAAATATTCCTAAATATTCCTCTCAAATCATTGTTAAAACCAGTTCCTATTTTTTAGCGAACCCCGACACAAAGTGTGTAGTTCGAAACTCTAAGTGTGCATTACGGGATTTGAGAAGTGCTTACCAACTAAATACTAATAAATTAGACTACTAAAAATATGTTTTTCGGGAAGATAGTTTAAGCAAGATAGCTGATGAGGACTTAAATATATCTATTATATTTTAAGTTATATATTCCACATTAAAATAAATAATTTATGAACAGTTTTCAGATTTATACCAGACAAAAGTATATTTTCAGTTTAAAAAATAATGTCAGATTGGTTTTTAGTTTAAGTAATTATAACGCGCAATTCGATTAAAAAAAAGAACTATTACTAAAAATAATAACTGATATTGTATTAAAAATTATAATCACATAGAAGGGGGTAGAGAGGAGCTTTGTATCATATCATTGATATATTAATTGTATATTAAAAATGTGTAGTACGAATTTTTATGAAAAATGGAGACTGGTTAAAACTATTGTCAAAGTCATTATTTATTCAGTGGTTTTGAAACTTAGAAAAATCTATAACAAATAACTTGGTACCCTTATTTGTTGGAGCTAAGGATTTTTTACAACAATTCTCTGAATATGTAAGTCAGTAAATAATTAGTTATTTATCTAGTAAATACAAAAATATATTGAAGAATATATTAGATTTTTTTGTATTATATTATTATTTTCTAGACTAGTTTTTTTCAAATATCCAAGCTAATTATTACACATTCATATGTAATAAGGTTCAGAGGGATTTTTCAATTTTTAAATTCCATAAATAAAGAAGGTGATTCTAACATTTGATAAATTTTTCAATTGTTTATGTATAAAACTAATATATTTTCATAGTTTCATTTATTAATAATCTTAGAAAAAGTATATTAAATTCTGAAATAAAATATTTCTTGTGAAAAATTTTAAAATAAATTATGACATGCGCGTTAGGTTCTTAATGCCACATCAGTTATAAGATATGACTAAGTTTTATTAAATATACAAGTTTCCCGACATTATTAGCATAAATATTGTAATAAATAAGTTGATAATTTGTGGCCTTACGAACGATTTTTTTAGTTATTCTCAATTTTGTTTCTCAATTCCTATATGTAATATAAATATAATTAAACTTATAAAGATTCAAAGAATAAAAACTAGTATTGGGTATTTTGTTAAATAAATGTAAAATATTATATAATTAAATATTTTATTCGTAATATTTGACGGGAAAAAATATTGTTACTTTTATCTTGTGAAAATATTACAATACATATTGCATTATATTTAAATAATTTTCCTTAAACCAAATTAGTTTTTTTATATCATGAATCACAACTTAAAATTATATTTTCTTTGTGGTGTTAAATACTTACAAAATCTGGAGAATAATAATGAATAATAATGCTAACAATACGTCCCCACGCAGCTCCAATCAATAGCGAAGGTAAAAACAATCCAGCTGACATGTTAAGACCAATAGTTAGTTCAGTTAATATGAAGTAAATAACGCAAAACACTATTAATGAGGTAATTGAAATTGCATCTGGAAATGATAAATTTAGCTAAAATATTCATACAGTGATAATTTAATTTAATAATAAAACAATTATGAAAATAATAATAGTTATGCATTAATATTTTTATTCATGTTCTAAAAGTATCAAAGTATAAATGTATAATAAAAAATAAATTTTTTTCAAACTAATTATAATTATGTATTGTTATTATTCTACATTTTATCTAGAGTTATTAATATTTATAAGTTATAATTATATATGTAATAACTTAAGGGTAATATTACTTTTTGTTGAATATATTACTATAATTTTCTAACAAATTTTCTTTTTCCTTTTATATTTTATTTATTGTAATCCTTTTCTCATTTTTAATATTTATTTCCTTTTATGCTCTTATTTCTTGATAACACATTTTTCAAGTTATTAATTTCCTATTAAACTATTTTCTTTCATAAAATATCAGGGTAATTGAAAATTCCTTAATATTTATATAATATATCCTAATTGAATTGATTAAATGATACCATTTAAGTTTATAGTTCTTTTATATAACATAAGTAAATATGTTGAATAACATTTCTGACTTTTATGATTCGCATTTACTGTTATTATTTTATGTTATTATATATATTTTAAATAAATATATGAAAATGTGTAAAATAATTACCAATTGGGTAGTGGAATAAAGATCTAATGCTTTCCTCTTGAGTATGAAGCCAAAATGAGCTAATTTCGTTATAACTCCCTGCTGGACAGTTCATCTGCAACAAACCTATCATAAAGGTAAAAGCCGTTTTCATAATATCTATATTCTAATAATCTAAAAATATCCATGCTAGTTTAAGCATTTATATTTATAATATAACCTACTTTTTCATTTGATTGAATTAATATATAATGGTTTTTTTATTTTTTTATTTATTAAAAATATTTAAAAATATTGCATAATCGATAAGAAAAAAAAACATTTTCATTAAAAATTAGTTTTATAACCAATAAAATATTTTAATTTTAATTATTAATACAATGTGTATTAAAAGAGTAACTATACAAAAAAAAAAAAACAAGTGTTCATAATAAATATAAATTAAATTAAGAATTTTAATTCTTAAAAAATTGTTAGAAGTATGGCATTGTTAAAATGGGAGAACAACTCCAAAAACTGTTCGTGATTCTATATGACCCTACCTTGTTCAAAGGTATATTTAACTTTTTGCTTGTTTCGTTTAGAGTCGAGTATTTAAATAAAATATATTTGAAATCACAATCAGTTCTTGAATGTGAAACATGCAGTAAAATTAGGACATGTAATTCATATCCTATTGTCATATTTGTGTCCATTAATTAAAAAGTTAAAACGTATTATGTTTAATATCTAGTATAATTTTTTCGGCGTATTTCTTACTTGGATAACATTGGACGAGTTAATCTTTATTTTAGGTTGACAATTTTCAAACAAAACCATAGATATTAAACTGCTGGTTGTAACAAATGTGGCGACGAATACAGATTCAAGAAGTTTTTTTCTATTTGACACAATGTATCTGAAAAAATAAAATTTAAAGTTTATTAATTCTTTGATTCACGACTCACAATAACTATAGAACTAACTTCATTCTTAAAATGGACAGACGATAATTTAGGTTAACAAATAAAGCTCCAAGAACACCACCAAATATACCAAATAATATTAAAACAGGAAATTCTGAATAAGAAAAATAATATGCAGTTTCATTGAACTTTCCAAAAAAATATATACTTTTACTGTCAACAGAATCTGAATCATCTATAAAAAAAATATGAAAGTGCATTAGTTTTTTATTTATATTATACTCGAAAATTTTAACCAAACCTACTTGTGCTTTTGGTAAACTGTATGTTTTTACCAGCATTAAATGTTGGGAAAGCTATTGCTGCACAAAAAAATACTTTCCACATGAGACTTGAACTCCAAAAACTAGTTCCTTCTTCAAGACTCATTAATGTTCCTCCTAAGAAGAAAAAAATAGTTGTAGATATTAAATATATTACTTTACATGGTTTTTTCTTATCAGTTTAATTATACATATATTTATATGAATTTAATCGCTTCAAATGTATCATAAATATAAAAAAACTCTTTGAAAATAATTGATAATCACTAGAAATGTGATATTAAAATAAACATTTTAAGTTAAATTAAAATTAAATTAAGATAAAAATAATTAAATTATCTAGGAAATAATTATTATTTATTAACTATATAAGCAGTACCTATCCATAGATGGATTATTAGAGGAAAAAAATGTATTTATAAATATATTTATATCTTAAACAACATATTTTCAAAGTATATAATCTTTATCATAAATCCAATCAGTTAAATATTAAAGCTATAATTTTTATCTTAAATATGTGAAAATTAATTTATAAAAGATAATTTATTTTAACTATAACTAAAAAATATGTACTTAAAAAATAAAATAGTTATTTTGAATAGATTTGAAATTGAAAATGATGTATTTACCTACAGGAGCACCAAAAGCAGCTGACAATCCTGCAGCAGCACCGGCTGCCATCATGTCTCTCCTTTCTCGATCATTTTGCAATGGCCCGATGGATTTTTGACCAGGACTATTCCTGAAACTTCTCCACCATGCCTCTACTACTGAACCACCAACCATCGCTCCAATATGAATTAATGGTCCTTCCTAAAGTATTTATAACTCATCTTTAATGATTTAATAATTAACAATAATTTCTTATTGGATTACAAGCACAAACTACTTATTGAATATTTGAACAATAAACATTGTATGAAGAAATTTGATTTGATGTAGGTAACTTAACTAACTTATACTATGCATGATGTTTATTTTAATTAGATATATGATGCATATATTATATATATATATATATATATATATATATATATATATATATATATATATATATAAATATTTATTACATTTTAATTAATATTCTCCTTTTACTAAATTAAAATGTAAGAGTTTTTATATTTTTAATGGTAAAATAAGTTTCTTAGTTATTTCTATGTAGAAAGTTATCACATAGAATATTTTTTATAAACTTAAATACACTTTGTGTAAAATTGAACTGTGAAAATTTACATAGTGATATAATGTAATTTGATTTTTAATTATATTTCATTGAACTTCTAATAATTAGAAGTGTAAATATATCATAAATTTTAAGTTAAAATTTAGATTATAAAATATATTACAAAAAGTTAACAGAAAAATAATCTGAAAGTTACATTAACTCAAAAACGTGATGATAAAAAATTAATAAACCGCTTAAGCTTTCAGTAAACAATCATGTAATAACAGTTTTTAAAATTTTAAAAATATAGAACCTTAAAGTATCTAAAAATTGAAACGAAAATAAACAAATAAATAGTCATATAAAGATCTAATATAATAAAGTATATAAAATAAAATAACCTTTCCTCCGCCAAGACCAGCAATACAGACGCATACTACGCTTACAACTTTTACAAATAAACATCGAACTGCTGTCATTCTTGGTATACGAACTCCATTTAAATAAGATATTACAAATGGAATACCACTCCCAGCGGCAGAAGGCTAAAATATACATTATAATATAAGCTATTAAACATAAATGTAAAATACAACAACAATTTTGAAAGATATAAAAACAATGTATTATTTGTAAAATAATATTTTAATGTTTTTTATTTATTAAATTCATTAAAAAGAGGTTATAAGTTAGAATTAAATTTTAAATATTATTATTGTCTTAAGTTATTTGCTATAATTTTATATCTATTATAAAAAAAAGTAAGTTAAAAAATATTTTGACTACAATTGTTATTTCAGTTTTCATTTTTATAATATAAGAATACTGAAAGTTCATTATATTATAAACCTTGTATATAGTAATTAATTTTATTAAAATTGTGTTTGTTATAAAAATCATATGTTTTGTGTTTCATTTAATGATATAAAATGTTGTTAACTGTGCTCTAATCAAATTTTAATGTATTTTAAACAAATAGTTTATTACTAATTTATATAAAAGCAAAATATTTAGATACATGCTTTCAAGAAAATGTTTGAAAACTATTTGATACAGTAAATATTTAATAAGTATTTTACTATATGTTTGGTATAGTTGAAATTATTGTAATTCTTGCTTTTTTTTATTATTATATTATAAGTCAGCATATTTGTGAATGGCTTAGTTCATACATATTGTAAGTTTTTGTGATATTATATGGGATATACTCGTAGGATATACTCGTATGTTTGAAATGATTTTAACGGATATCAAATAAAAGTTACAATTATTGAAATCAAATATGTTGAACATAAATAATTACAAATTACTTTACACTTAAATAAGTAAATAATTAACTTAATGTTTTTCAAAAATATCATATTTGTGACTTATTATATGTGTGCACTGAGCCCTTTAAAATAATTGTATTTCAACACGTTATATTGTACACACTGGATTATTATTTACCTCCATAAATAGAACAACAGAACATCCAATAATTGTAGGAAGGACAGTGAAAAGAAGCCAAATTATCAGACATTCTATCATAGAATGTTTAACATCAATACAATTTCGAATAGACTGATATTTCCAATCATAAAAATATTCAATAGCAGTATCAATAAAAATTCCAACTGCTGCAGTACATATGGCAATGGAAAAATAAATAAGCCATCTAATAACATTACTTGCCACTACTGTTCTATAACCGTTTAACTTTTCTTCTCTGACAGTAAGTTCACTTTCGTAATGATCATAATCTAAACTCTACAACATCATAATCATATTTATAAATATAGCTTAGAAAAAAAAAAAAAAAAAAAAAAAAAACACTAATCTTGATTGTACTTGGATGAAGTTGTTATCATAATAATTAATTATTTTTATAGTATTTTACTGTTCACAGAAAAAAATACAAATCTAATGATAAAAAAATTTCTTACTTCGTAATCAGACGATACAAAATTTATAGAATGAGATCTTTGTTTTGAGTTCAATTCTAAAGCATTATTAGGTGAAGATCGACAAGAATCCTGTGAACAAATCAGCTATAAATATAAAACTATAATTATAAATGTATTAATAATATCAAATCAAATTGTATATTAGTTGATTTCATTACAACAATTAAACAGAAAAAACAATTTTGTTTTTTTAAGTTTTAATAATGACCAAATATAATTTTTAACTACACGATAAAGGTATATTATATTTGATTATAGTAATTAGAAATTTCGTAGTATAACAATTTAAAAAATTCACATCAATGCCAAATGTCGACCTCTGCAACAGTCGGGCATACGTCCAGTTGGCGTTGGCAAAAATTAAAAAAAGAAATTATGTGTATAATGGTTTTTTTTATTAATGTTTGGCTTTTGTTATCATTAAAACTCAATACAACTGAACATTTTGGGTAAAATTTAAATAAAATAATTATAAGTACAGCTACTATTTGTTAGTATTTGGAAAATTACTATAATTTTTACGATAGTATACTGCGTTTGAGTTAAACGTTTCATTAAAAAGGGTGATTTTTTAATGGACAACACACCATTTTTTAATCAATATTTATATTTTTGAAACAACAGAATAATTATTTATTAATTAATATTTATTCACAAATTTATAATCAATATAAATAATAAGTATTTAAAATGTTAAGAAAAAATAAAGGGATATCAATAAACGACCTTATAATTATACTGCTCATCAATGCATTGGAAAGCTTACAAATAATTAACTAATAGTTAATTTATAGTCATCATTATTATTTTAGCAATATGTTGAAAACAATAATAATATATAATCTCAGAATATAGAAATATAATTACGAGGTTTTACTTTAAAGTTTCACTAAACAGTATTTATATAGTAAGCACATAAATTTTTAGTGAAGAAATATAGTCTTATATCAGTATTTTAAATTATTGAAATCTTAAACAATTATCCTTTTTTCAAAACTTAAATCAATATACAAAATATGTATACAAATAATGGAATATATAATAACTACCTCATGATTATGAATCATACATGGAACTCCATTTATGAATTTTGACTTGCACCAATGATGGTAATTTATGACGTGCGTTGGAAATCCATAATTTTTGATTGTTTTACTCTGACGTGAAATATGTCTCTTATTAATTAGTTAAGAAAACCAAAAATATATTAACTTACCATTTTTTTTTTAAGAATAGTTAATTGTTAATATTACATATAATCGCAAATCGTTAAGACACTAACATTTGCATTTTCGCATCACTTAAGTATTCATCGGCCGCACTGCATACGCAGACTGTTGCTATTGGCACTAAAATTAAATTTACCATACAGCAACTACCAATACACCTGTTTTTTTTTTTTTTTAACTGACATTTTACGTTTCGTAATTAAGGTGTATTTAATTATTGTTTTTTTAATACGTTTTCATTGTAGCTCTAAGAAAATTTAAAATCATATTAAATTTATTTATCAAAAATTATAACCAAACCTAACTGTATAAAACTGTTTGATAAATTCATAGGAGTTAAAAAAAATATAGAAAAATTAAAATTAAATATAATCGACTACAACAAATTTACTTATTTTTATTTATTTATTTATTTTTCTTAAAACTGTACTCAAGTTTAATTTTTCGAAATCAATAAATATGAAGTCGATATTGTTGGTTTAAAATTATATATTTTTTTTATACAAAATATAATTTGTTCAGCATTTTTTTTTCTACTAAGCATACTTATATAAATTTGATTGAATACTTATACTTTAGTGACAATCATTATAAAGTCAAATTTAGTAATACATAAACATTGTTCGAATTAAATATGAAATTTGAATGTGTATGTGTATGTGAGTGTTTATTTAATGTACAAAGGAAGTATTAAAATAGTATATCCTCGTGTAACGTGGACCATGTAAAATGAAATGAGATGATAAAATAATAATTACAGCGATCATTTGCGGATTTTATTTTCTCTAGTATGTAATAGACCCCATTGCGGTTCGCTGTGTTCAATATACGCCGTCAGTTTTTTTATATTTATTGCAAATCCTCTACCACAAGCAAGTAAAAATATACAGGATGATTCATAGAAAGTAATACAACATTTGTTTTATCAAAAAATGAATGTGTCTATACAAAATTAATTTGCCAAATTTCAATAATACCATTTTTTTTCAGTTATGTATTTTATTTTAATAATTTATTAAATTAAATAACAAAATATTTTTATTACTTATTTTGAAGGTAAATATGTTTTGAAAAATGTTTTTATTCACAAAATGCTAATTTACGAAAGCTACGGATATTTAAAATTATATTTTGATGCCACAGAACCTCTTACTATGCTCAATAGCGTGCTTTAAATAAAATTGGACGTCTCTATATTTGGATTTCCTTAAAATTATTCAATTTTATTTAAGATTCAACTAAACCAGAATTTGTACAGCATAAAAATTATTAAACTAGTTGTAAATAATTAAAAATTAATTAAAGTTTATCCATAATAACTGTAAATTAATAAATATTAATATTAACACGCTAACATATTGTAATTAATCGAAGAAATACATTCAACACCATGAGTAAAATTAATATGCATAACTAACGTAAATACTATTGTAAAATAAGCACGGTGTGCACGTCACGCTCGTATAAGGACGCTTCGGACGTTCAACGTACGGTCCATCTCCCGCCTTGACGATGATAGTACATGCCCTTTTGTCAGTAACATGGTTAACACGACGAGATGTTCTACTGTCTATATATTTTTTGTTTATATCGAATACTTAATCGTATCTCAAGTTCAAGAGCGAACGCCAAACATGATTACAAGATTGTTGTTCCGATTCCCGCAACGAAATGTAATAATTTTTTCCAAAAAAACCGATTAACTGGTCGAGGAAACGAGCGTAAAAAAAAAAAACTACCCGGTACATAAGGTACATAACACGTACAAACATAACATGTCTGTACGTAAGGCGGAAAACCAATCGAAATACCCATTTACCCGCTACATTCACGTAAATCCGGCTCCCCTTGCCGGCAGCCAAGGTATGTATTCTAGAAGTTATAATCCTTTTCAGATTATTTCAAAGGGTACGCGGTGGCGGTGGTGTTGGTGTACACTCGCGTTCCGGAACGTTATGATAAATTTATGTCGATGGTTCTATCCATACGCACACACGCGCACACACACACAATACACGAAGAACACGTTTTGTACGAGCTGTGCGTGCGTGTATACGTCTGAAGTCGACTGTGGTGCGGACCACAGTGCGTGCGTTCTCTGCGGGAATCAGACGCGACGCGAAAAACAAACGTTGATGCAACTATTATTATTATTATTTTTTTTTCTCCTTCGCATAGTTATTTTTCTCTTCCGTTTGCCCCCCCCCCACGCACCCCCGCACCCGCGTCCGCCGTTACCGCCGGAAATCTGTCTCATAACGGTTCACCAGAATCGCTGCGATCGTTTTCCAGTTTGCCGCGGCGATGCGATCGCAAAATGCCCAACGGAAAAGCGTCGCTCGCACGCACTCGCGCGCGCGCAACCACCCCGTCGCTGGCATCGCCCGGCACCACCAGCGTCGTCGTCGTCACCGTCCCCGCATGTATTGTCCTCCGCCGGGCGCGCGCACATTGGCTGATACGTTGGCTGATATACACGTCCTGTTCAGTGTTGTGTCGCGTGCGCTGCGTACAGACGTAAAGACATCACTGTACGGTCGTCAACCGCCGCCGTGTAATACGTATACAATACGCGACGCGATCGCCGACGGTTTTTTGTTTTTTTTTTTTTTTCCGTTACACACATTCGGTGAAAAATAAAAAATTAAATTAAAAAACTACCACGTTTTTGTCGTCGTCGTCGTAGTCGTACCACCCCATGACTTGTTGGGTCGCGGGTAATACTAAATCCGCGAACGCACTCCTCGGCGAGCACGTGTGTCCTTGTACCGTTCGGTTTTCCCAAGTTTCGCCATCTCCGCAAACCGTCGCCGTACCGCGGTCGCGATTTATCTCTCGGGGCATCGATGACCTAACGCACGGAGCCGAGCACTGCACATGCACATGCACACAGACAAAGTAAACTTTCCGAATAATACGATTTCATGATAGTGCTGTAAACCGTACCGCTGTCCGTTGTGATACGATGCTCGTTTCTTGACTTGCGAAACATACACGATTATTATAATATTATTATGATGCGTGCAACGTCGAAAGTGATTCGCAGACGTTTCACGTGATTTATTCGCGTACGCGAACCGGTGAAAAAAACCCGCATCTAAGCATTGTAGTACAACGATATCATAAATTACTGTCCATCGAATATGCATCGGTGTATGTTGTAACATTGTAACATTAACGGACATAGAAACAAAATAAATCGTTGACTAATCGTATAATAATTAATCAGGCGCACCGTACGTATTTATGCATACTACGATTTGTATTGTCACTGGGACGGATACGAGTGTTGTGCATTAGGGGTATTTAATGGTTCGTCTCACACCGTGTAGAGTAAAATAAAGTACTACGAGTTATTTTTATCTTTAGTAACTATATCAGGGTTGTTCGACCAATAAACAGTAGAAGTCTTACATTTATCGCGCGTTGGCTGGAAAACGTATTTATTAAACTTAAAATTAAGTCAGTGATTTAGATAATAATTTATATATTTCGATTTAAACTGAAACCCATTATCATTTACAGAGATCACAACCATAATGTAAACACTATAGCAATACAATTTACTTGGGCATTGAAAATTATGGTTGGAGAATGTATTACCACTGATTATAAATAGTACTATTTATAATCATTGGTATTACTTTCATATAATAAACGTCAAATGGTAATAGATGGCTAGATATCTTATAATGCAATTAGTTTTTCGAAATCTGAACATAAACAACATTGTGAAAACCTATTTATTGTTCTTAATCACTATGAAACTCTAAAATAAAATAGATAATACGTAATGAACTATATGTACGAGTATGTAAATATAACACATACTATGATGAGTTGAAGTAAACGAATGTAATTGTATACGAATGTATACTCCTACATAAATGCAATTTTACGCTTGTGAAAGCGTTAAAAATTAAAACACTATTGTAACGCAATATATAAATAAATATTCACGAATAATTTAATATTTGCTTAAAGAATATATTTTTATTCTAGGTAGTTTAAATTAGAATGCATTGTAAAATTATAAATTATTAAAAAGTAGAATATTTTTGAATAAATTTTAAATAATATTTTATAAATAATTATTGAAAAATAAAATTATAACTATTTTTAAATGTATAGCTTTAGTAATTTTCATTATAATTATAGGTTTTTTAATTATTTTTTAATAATTTATATCAGTTCAAGCTTTGAAACATAAATATTTATAAATATTCATATTAACTTATAATTAGTACGTAATTGAAATTTGAAATTAACACAATTTAACCAAATTAATTAAAATAATTTAAATAAATGAATTTTATATTGCATTTGTTTTACCGGAACAAATTATAAGTATACACATCATAAATAATAATACATTTTATAAATAAATACATGCTATGCAATTATCATTGATTCAAATATAAGTATACGTTATTTAGTCAAAAAGAAGTTATTTACCAATAATTTTTATTTTTTATTAGAAAGTTATTATTTTTATGTTAAACATCGAAAAAAGAAAATATTATATGCTCTTCAATAATTATTATTATACTTCGTATAGGTACTTTAAAAAATAACCAACGATAGAATAACAAATTTAGATATAGTTGAATTTTATATATACATGATCATGTTAGTATCCTAACTTAATCTTTATAATATGCTAAAGGATAAATATTATTTATAGTATATTTCAAGTTGTATTTTTTCTAGGTATTGAACATTTAATTTATACAGTCTTGTATAGGAACGATATAAGAAATGAATTAATTTTTTGAAAAATTATAAGGAAGAAACAGACTTGTCTTTAAGAACATAAAATAGCTTTTCGTTTTTAAGAATATTATCGTAATTATTGTAATTATTTTTTTCTTCCATAGCTCTACACATTTTTATCAAATATTTGACACTTTTTACTTAAATTAATTAAGAGTTAGTATTTAATTAATTTAAAAAAAAATTAAGTTAGTTTTATACTGATTATTGATTAAATTAATTTTAATGTCCCTATATTTTAATATGATTTTAAAAGTAAATTATATACTTTATCATATAAATTATACTTTTAAGGAGAAAAAGGTTTTTCGAGTTCTTTATTTTTAGATATAAAGAATATATTGCATTTCTTTTAATATTTATTATTTTTAAAAAATTAACAACTAATCGAATTGAATAATGTCAAATGGAACGTTAACGACACTGCTTTTAAACAAGTATACAACTAATATCAAGCAATGAACACCTTAACTTATTACCATGTTAAACTTAAAAAAACAATAGTAATTACAAACTTACTTGAAGTATACGTTGGAACAAAATACACTACAGTTATAAGCTATAATAAAGTTATTTACTTCAATATTTAAAGAAGGGTTCAATTTTTTTTATAAACTATACGAGGTGTTCATGTCACACATAATTAATTACACCATGTTTTATTTAGAATAGTTTTAAAAAGTTAGAATTAAAATGGTAAGAAATAAAACCAATGTTATTTTTAGAGATTTTTATAAGATTATCTTTCTTACTCAATGCATTTGCTCATTATCTCGTTTCTCCGTTTTCCGTCGAAATAGTTATCATTGTTGTAATGTCGACTTCATACGATTTGATAATATTAACCATTGCCTATAATAAAAATAATAAACCATATATTTTAATATAACCTTTTTAAAAATTCTTTCTTACTTGTGTGAAAAATACTTGGATATTGTTTGATCTTAAGTATAATTTCCACTTAAGAATGATGTATATTTAAGTTAAAGGATTGAGAACGTGAATTAAATGCTGATATTCCACTACTGTAGTTAAAATGTATCATTAATCGCTTTAATTGTTTATTTTTCTCACGTATAATATAAGGTTTTACATCGTTGTTGAAAAATACTTGAATGGTGTATTTCTTGATAGGAATGCAAAAGAAATTTAATCTAGATAATAATATATATTATAATGGATCTTATTATTCTTTTTTATTACATTTTATTTTAGAAAAAGAACATAAATTACTTAGTAACTCTTTATCAAAGATAAAAAAAAAAAAAAAATGTGAAGAACAACGAAGTAAAATTTAAAACTTTTATAAATGTTGATCTTATATTCAATATATGTAGAAAATATATACTTAACAAAAGATGGTTACTTGTATGAATATTCTATAAATATCTTATGATATAATGACACTGTATAATTTAAAAATTGTTTTAAATTCAATATTACCATAGTTAGTTAAAGCACAGCTTATAATAAACATTGAATTATATTTTTTAAGTAAAAGTATGTACAAGTGAAGTAACTCCGTAAATAATTATAGCTTACATTTCGATAATTATAACGAGTTAAGTTAATAATTTATGTATAATATTAGTAATATAAAGAAAAAATCAATGATCAATTTATCAATATAATTCTGTACGTAAAAATCGATCTACGAATTATAATGCAGAACACGAAATATGTGTTTTATCTTTTTTATAATATGTATAGGTACAAATTTATTTTAAATAAAAATAAGTCAGTCTAAGAACGTTTTAAATATATAATATAATATTATTTTTATTTTTATGGTTGAAATTGAGCATATCGGCGAACCACTTCAACTAAATCTGTGAGTTAAATTTAATTATTAGAGGAATTTCTAAATTAAGAAACGTATTATTAGGTATTATGTGACAAATAAATTTGCATAGTTTGAATACTAAGCAGAATTAAACAATATATGAAATTATATGAGCAATTTAACGTGCATATGCATTAAAACAAGTAATACATTTTAACATTAATATAATTATGTAAATTTAAGTTTAATTTATATCGATTTATATAAAAAATAAACATTACTATTTTTTAGAATTTACAATAATTTAATATTATATTAATACACTTTTATAAGTGTATTAATCTTTTATTTTAAAATTTGTCTATAAATTTCGTTTCACTCATAAAATAAATTATACGTAGTATAAGTCGTCTCACGAAGATTAAATATGATTGAAAATGGCAAGATGATAGAAATCTCTATTTAATCATTTTAGATTAGTTAATCGTTACAGGATATCTTATAAATAATAATATTATGTACTTAAATTATTTAATTTTAGAAATAAGCAATGTATAATAATTTTAAATGTGAAAAATTTTTTTCAGCTGTTCGGTTTTTTGTGAAATGTCAAAACGCATTCAATATCAATGGTATCAATAAATCAGCGTCGTTCATTGAATAAAATGCATTTATCAACGCTCATAGTGTCCACTTATAACAGAACATTGATTTGAAAAACGGAAAAATAATACGTTGATAATGAAAATTTACTCCAGTTTGTTCAGCGTACTAAGCTGTTGGTACATATTGACGTCTCGAATAGTGCAATCGGACTCAGGAACTTCTGCTAAAGGTTAATAAAGTGAAAAAGCATCAATGCATATTTTAAGTAGAATAGTTACATTATATTTTTTATCCATAAAACGTTCATACAATGATTAATGAATATAATTTATTTGTCTGCAATATTTTGTAGTCAACAGATCATAAAACTAAATGTAATGTTTATTGAAAAATTAAATTTGAAAAAAATTACAGGTCATGTATCATATGCACATTATTTATATACTTATATGATATTAAATATTGACTTAAAAAACAATATGCTCAATGATTACCGTTCGATACACACATAATACAAATGTATCTAAATAATAAAGTTACTTTTCTGTTTGATTGTTAAACAAAGCGTAAATATTAAAATCATTTCATACATTGTTCTACCAACTCAGTAACAGAAATTTTTACAAAAACAACTTATAAATTAGTTTTATAAAAATATTGTTCCCTTTTCAGATTATGTTTATGCGAAACGACCTTTTGCAACTGGAAGTTTATTAACTTCCTGGCCCTTTCATTTAATTTATGGTCACGAATATATATAAATATATTCCCATCAATTATAACAACTGAACGTATTCTGGATTACTAAATACAGATTTATATAAAAAAAAATTGTTAATAATGATAAAAATACAAAGCAATAGCTTATATTTGTTTAGATTGTTTTTATAATTTATTACACTATTACTGAAATAATTTAATTAAATAAATATTCAATAGAAATATATATTGATCGAAAATATTGTAATTTAAATTTTCAATATATAAAATATATATTTTTTAAAAATCTACAAGTATACATGAAGGAAAAAATAATATAATATTTTTACGATTTTTATTAGATTTCAGTATATTATTATGGTTCATAATATTTGTCAATGCAATATAATATCTTATAATTCTAGTTATATAATACAAGTTTTAAAATTTGAATAAAAAATAATATTAAATAAACAACAAAGTTTAGTGTAATGAGATATTACCCTAATGTAAAACATATTAGTTATTAGTTATAAGTTGAGACCGGATTTATTTACATTTTAAATTATAAAATATGTATGCAAAAATGCACTAAAAAGTAAAAAAATGCAAAAGATGCAAAATAAAATTTCAATTTTTATTAAATTTTATATTTGATTTTAATTTTCTATTGATAATTACTTATTCATTTTATTCAAATTTTCAATAGCAAAAAGTGAGATGCAAATATTCAAAACGGAATTGTAATTTGTTAAGTTATAGAAGTTATAAAAATAACAAATTTTTACTTACTGTAGTTGAATATCAGAAAAATTAAAAAAATCACTTATTTTAAAATGTTGGTTGAAATAATATACCGTCAATAGACACTGTTTATGAATTAACTGCTAAATATTATACCAAAATGAAGAAGAGATAACATATAAACTCATGCAATAATAATACATGAAAATATCAATAAAAATTTATTATAACATGTTGTAAAAAAAACAATACATGTGTACCCATATGGGGAGGCTCAGCGTTGATGAGTTACTTTGGCGTAATTCTTACCAAAAATTGTACAAATGTAGCAGTGGTTATAATAATGTACTTATTTATGTTGTTTTGGGTATTTTATCCATAATATTAGATAAAATAGGTAAAACTAAGTCTTTTCTATAAAACTTGTACAACCAATCTATAGAGGCTTAGTAACTTACGCGTACCTACATATAATCAGTTTTTTTACTCAACACCTTTTTTGATTGTTAAATGTATATTTGTATGGTTTTTTGTTAAAATATGTAAAAACATGCAGAACATGCACTAACATCAGAATATGCTAAAATATGTAGTATACAATTTTGTTATTTAATCAAACAAGTAAAGATTTGTGGACACTCATTAACTGCATGTATATAATGTAGAAAATATAAACATGCATTTTATATAAAATCCGGTCTTGAGTCATAAGTTATCGATGATAATGATTTTTTTTTTTTTTGTTATTAAATAATTATTTAATTATTGTGAAAAAATCTAAATCTAACAACTAATTATTTGAACAGCAGTTTCTGATCATGTCTTAAGTGAATAATAATATTTACTATCGACTGTATAGTTATATTAACTATAATGTATTTTTTTTAAAATACTACAAATAAATTTTATTAAAAAAAATCGTAATTTATATTTTTTCAAATAGTATTAATATATGACACCAATTTTACGTTTACATACGGTAAAAATTCATCTCGAAATCACGGCACGTTGTATAGGCAAATTTGTTACATTTATGTATACAATAAAAAACGAAACAAGTACAGTAAACTAGAGTGAAAGGTATGTCATTATTATTGAATTGAGAATCTGTCCATAAATCAGTTTTTGGTAGAGGTAATTTATCATTAGGTAATATTTTCTGAAAACAAGTATATCAAAATTAATTTTATTACGGATAATATTATAAAAATTATAAAGAAAAAAAAAATTTTTCAAAAAGCTAAATTATATAACATCATATATACGTTTAAATGTAAAATTATAATATGAGTATTAAAGATTGTGTATAAATGAGTTCAAATAATAAACAATACACCATTGTAGATGCAATATTTACATGACCATCGAGTTTGGGCTGTTATCACGAACTGTATACCATATGTATAACCATAGGCGTGTGCACGAGACGATCGGAATCTTTTTAGGGGCATAATACAATTTTAAATTCGTGTAGGTATATAATTAATTATAACAATATGTTCGAGGAAATCATAAAAATGTTATTTCGTAATAGTGAAATTTAATAACAAATATTTGTGTAACATTACATCCACTGCTGGACCTAGAGTATTTGTCTTCCATGGCAAATACAATTTTCACCCCTCCTTTAAATTCACAATAGTATACACTTAGATATTAAGGTACCCCTGAGTATACGGCATTCGATAACAAAAACTACTACTCGCACTCTTTAGATCCGACACTGACTACATCAATTTTATTGATTTATTCATGTAATAAAATCATTGTGTACATTAATAGGTTGATTATAAATAAATATATTGTTTTATTTTTATATACATCGTGTATATCAGTGGTTCCCAACTTCTTTTGTTCTACGTCCCCTTTGTAGATTTTCAAAGTCTCGCGTCTCCCACTCCTATAAATTAAATAAATCGATCACTTTTTTTTGAGTATATTACAAATAAACTATACAATATTTGGAACTAATCAATAAAAATTTCACTTCGTAATAACTGCGTACGCCTCCCCAGCAATGTGTATGCGGCCCTCAGTTTGTGAACCAGCGATGTATATTTAATAATTATAATATTAAGGTAAGCGGACCTGCATCATCAGACTCAAGGAAAACTCTATACGTTTATAATGAGTCGCTTTCAATTAATGAAAGACCGTAAACTATCCGCTCTGCAATAATATATAATCAGTTAACCGTTCACTGTTGTGTGTTGATACTTGTCTGATCAGTGTTTAGTGCTTATTGTAATACTGTTTAACGTGTTAACTGTTAAGTAATATTTATAATATAGTACCGTTAAATTATAGCGTGAGATATTATTATAATTTATTTTTAAACATTTCAAACATGTCAAGTTAACGAAGTGGTTGTGAAAATATAAAATGTAAAGCTCGTAAAGAAGCCGAACTGGTAAATATTAAAAGTCAATATTCAATAAAAATTATTTTCTATCAAACACATTACATTTTCAAGTTTGTAAGTAATATATAAGTAAAGTAAATAATAAATAATAGGTAGGTATTTTATTGTATTTATTAATAATATTAAATATAAGAAATTAATCAGTTATAAGAGTCTTATATACCTATATATATCTAGAAATTATCAAATTAATATTGTGTGCACATACAACTTGATTCTATTTACATAATTTTTAGTTTACAATTTTAATGTATATTAATGTGTTAAAAAAAAAAAAATTAGGGCCCTGCCCGAATATTGGAGCATTAATTGATCTATGCTTGACCGTCTACGCACGCCTATGTGTATAGCCAGTATATGTGTATATATTATGTATTTAGCTTGATGAATGGTATATGATAGATTGACAGGGTTTTCAATAAGTTGTCATATACATCTTAAGTTAAAGTTTTCTACCGTAACAAATATGACGTTATTGTTATTTCAGCCTGTTATGTATTCAGAAGGTGAATTTTTTGTTGAATTATTCATGTTATGTTCAATCTCTTCTTCCAAGAATTCATAATTATTGAAGGAAAAGAACCAACATTAAAAAATCTGTCATTTACTTGCTCAGTTCTTGTCGATTCGGTGTTTGATTTTGATGAATATATTAGACAAGAAATGATTATAATAAAATAAATATTTGTTTTAATTTTGAATCATAATAACTGATTGGAACATTAAATAAATAATTTTGTAATAAAAATATACGGGTGAAAAATTAATTTTTTTTAAAATTCCAGTAATATGCTTCTAAGTTATTTTCATGGGATATTATCGTTTTTAAAAGTTATGTAAACATTTTTTATTTATTTTTTCACTACCTTTGGCCTTATTGATACCAAGAAATATGATTTTATTGATATTTCTCTTTTTAATGTTCAACAATATTGTAAAAAGTATGTGTTTAATAATATACAATATAATTGTTAGTAAATAATATAAAAAAGTAGGTTAATAATAGCAGTGATAAATCTCACAAACCATGAATTTTTAAAATTTATAATCACATTTTAAATTTTATAAAATATGCTTTGAATTATTTATTCCCATATTTGAAGCACACAAAAATTAAATATAGAATTGAAATGCTCATAAAAAAAGTTTCCAACTTCTTGTGATAATATAATTTAATTTAACTATCCTTTTATTCAAATGTCAAGTCTTAAGACTCAAAATTATTAGTTTAATTTTAAAAATAAAATCTGATTTCTGTGAATTGTAATGTTTCTTGTAATTTTTGAATCGGCTTTTACTAATTACAACAATACAATATAGTAGTAATTCAGTAGTTAATGCAATATACATCTAAATCTATTCAA